ATTTTTAGATTCATATAACGCACTACATATTTTAATCGATAAATCATTAAATTCTTGTAATTCAAAATCTTGCATATAGAGATAGATCTCCAGATAAAGTTTTAAGTATATATACATTATTTTAAATTAAAGTGCCTGCTCTCTTGTTCTCTTATGTCGATAAGGAGTCATCTAATCTCCCGATTAATTGCATTACAATTTTTGATCTACTTTGTATTCAAACGAAAAAAAGAAAATAAAACAGCAGTCGCAGCTCGAGAGATCGTTATAAGCTAATAATGATAATCAATAATTCAATGATAACTCACTGAATATATCGATAGTAATGTCATTATTTCAATGCAAAAATTCAAAAAGTTCGCGTATTTCATCATAAATTGATTTAGATCTTTATCAACAGTAAGTGTAAAATTTGCGTTTTTCAGTGGCAGAGAAATATACGGCATAAAAAATTGTTTTTTTTTATTCCAAATTCAAGATTTAATGTACAATTTTGCATTGGAGTGACGACATTAGCGCCGATATATATACATACATATACATACGTACAAATACGCGTGCACACACATATACACGCACGCACGCACGCACGCACGCACGCACGCACGCACGCACGCACGCACGCACACACACACACATACACGCACGCACACGTGTGAATGTATGTATGTATATATGTATGTATGTATGTATATATATATAGTGTAAATATAAAATAAAAATAATATTATAACAGAGGTAAAAGCACGAATAATAACAATTTGAATTGTTTATGATAGTACAATGCGCTTTGTACATTCGTTATGCCTTGATCAAACAACCCTAATCGTGTACAAATGACGCGTTAGTAAATATATGCACATACGTAAGGATATACTGTCGCTTAACTATTGCCCCTCAAGGGCTACACCTAAATTATTCTAATTTGTTAATGACATTGTCGTGCGATTCGTTTCGTTGGGCCAAGAAAATGCTAATTGTCAGATATCGTTTTGCCTTTAAAATAACAAGTTAAAAGAACATAAACACCTACATACGTTAAAATCGATTGCTAATATCAAAAAGCTTAGAAATCTAATTTTACGGCATTTATTCCCTCAATTCCTTTCAATTCCCTGATTTATTTCGTATATATTATTATGAAATAAAATAATATACGTCACTGACAATCACGAATATCAAACAATTCAAATTGGCGAATTATTAGCAATAAGATGAAATAAAACTATACCATAGTGCATGGTAGATTTGATTATAGTACAATTATATCATTCATTTGGCATTTCGAGAAGATCATTGGTAAATTTTGTTTTCGGTACTTTTAAACCGGAAATTTCAATGAGTTACAATGAATAGAAAATGCATACAAATTACTCCAAAATAACACCAATTACCATTTTCTTGCTCCAAAAACGAATGGTCAAATGTGACGCAACCTCATTAGCTTGGAGGGAAAGAATGATATGCATTGGCCCAGTTTTCAATTTATCAACATTGGCAACAATACGATTCATGATTACTCGACTGATAACTTGATTTGTTCTTTTCTTATCCGTTTTCAGCAAAACAGCTTACGAAATTTATTATTTATGCAATTTTTTGAAAGTTTCTGCGAATCGATTGGCATTCATTGATGAATTTAATTAACAGTTTCAACCTTCACACCATTTATCGCCATTTTTAATTCGCTGAAACTTTTTGATGAAAATTCAAAAAGGCATTTTGCTGCTAGATAAAAATAGATATTAATATTTATCTCTCACGGGTGTGATTAAAATATTTCCAAAAAAAAAAAAAAAGGAGTATGATTTTATATTTAACAATGCGAAATTTGATAAATGAAATAAAAACAGATATTTATAGACGTCAGAGGGGAGGGTTGATGATAAGAAATATGGTAGAATATACCCCACAAAAGTTAAATGTCGCCGCGTTTTAAATGCTACGCACAGAATGTCCAGCAAAAGGCGTACCAGCAGCAGGGATACATAATATATTACTAAAATGCAATATCAATAAAATGCTTAGCTCGATTACTCGATTTTCCCGAAAGACATGATTTTACTGAACATATTTTGCAAATGGATATTACGAAGAAACTTCGAGTTACCCAAATTTCCCTCTGTTAATACTTTATTTAATGAAAATATTATGATTTCTTGGATGCGTAGACCTTAAGATACCTATTTTTGCATGATAACAGACTTTGAGAATATTTTCCAAGTTGTTGTTTTATCGAAATCAAGCGGAAGTTGTGTTTAAGAAATTATTCATTTACTTTACATGTCTGTGAAAAATGTATTATGCCATGCTCAGTAAATATGCGGACGTGAAAGCTTATTTAATCGAATATGTGTGAAATCATTGTTCCTCAACGATCGGCAGTGTCGAGAAATAGCTCTGACAACTTTGTTAAAAGCTTGAGCTTTTTTAAACCTTAAAGTTACAATATATCTTGTTCATATCTATTTTATTATGATATCTGTATAGTTGATACATTGATATCTGTACCTTGATATTGTACCTTGAAAGATTGATATCTGTACCTTTCAAACTCTCGAGTATCGCAAAACTTTCGACATACCAGCTTTTATTTTAAGGATAATTTTTTATTGTTTCTGTGCTATTGTATTTTAATCTACAAAATTTTAGAGGTCTTTGCAACTTTCTGTACGTATGTTATTCTCAAATATTAGATATTAATATCTGTGTATGATTTCGGCCACGCATTCAAAGATCCATAACGTTTAAGGCTAAATTTGAAATCATGATAAATTTTGAAATATTAGAGTTGAAAATAAGTTGAAGTTAAAATATTCCCTTGCACATTCTACCTGCTACTGTTACCCTCCCTTTTCGACGTATCCTACAAGTTGTATCCGAAGCATTTAAAAACGTGGGGCCTCAGAACGTTGATATCTTCTTACTAGTCGAACAAAGCTTTGCAACGTTTTGGCTCGAACTGAACGACGGCAACAACACAACATGGCCCATCAAACGACTCGGAGCGATTCTTCTCTCCTCTCTCTCACTCACTTTGTTTCATATACCTTCGCACCCGTAAGCCGCTATAGTCTCCTAGTCAATATCATTGTCTTCTTCTTTCTCGCGACCGATCGTCACAAGTAACTTCTGCCCGACTCCTTCGCTTACTTCCCGAACGCACGTGTTTCTCACCCTGGACAAGATCGGCACAACAGTTGGTCGTCCTCGCAAAATGGAAGAACACTCGCGCTTCGAAACAATCTTCGTCGCGTTGCTCGCCAGGAAGAGGGATACACCAGCAGCTGTGGTATTGATGACGTTTAAGGTATAAGACCCCGCTGGTCAACGAGGGACGCTTCGAGGTGGTCCTTGGCCGCACAGCGAGTAGTGGGTCACGTGAAGCAGCCCTCTCAGGATCCTCCGGAAGGTGCATTGAGCGACAAGACTGGCTGCGTTGCCAGGATTCAGGCGGGGCTAGGAAGCAGCCAGCGAACCTGATCCCGGCGGGCTCTGATTACTCGGCACGGTTTGCGCGGTTGCCACCTGGTTGTACGGATGATTGCTGTTGCACAGCACCGTGTAGATATTCTCCACGTTGCTTAGTTTCTCAAAGAAAGGTATCAGGTCCAATAGCTCGGAATCCGTCATGTCGTCGAACCAAGACGCCACTGGAACCTGCCGAGAAAGTATTCGCTTTCTTATCGATCAAAATATCGTAGATACATCGGAATGAAATCAATTGTTGTAAGGAGCATGTTTTACCGCGTTATCTGGATGAAAAATGTAGCTGGCAGGACTATTATCTACAATAATGATCTGTTGCAAATCTCGGCCTAACTTGTTTAAATCCTTAACATAATTCCCTCTGTGGAACACGCAGGATTCTCTGAATAATCTCGCTCTGAATACGCCCCATCGATCTAATAGATCTGCCACTGGATCTGCGTACTGTGAAATGACGCAGAGTAGAATAAAGAGGCACGTTAATCAACATTGTACATATTGGAGAATTTTCGAAACTTTTCCTCAAAAATTTCTTTCCTAACACGTCTCATTTGATAATGCAACATATCAGAGTTCCATCGTTGCGAATATTCTTAAGAGCTTTGTATTATTTTTTTCCAGCTAATATTTTTTACATTAAGCAATTATTTCTACACCAAATAATCTTTCATCCGGCAAAATAATTGTTTACATGGAATGTAACATATTCAAAGTATCCAATAGGGACAAACTTCGCGAGGGCGTAGAACAGATTGAGATGAAAACTTCGATCGTTTTGCAAACAATACGCAAGATTTCGGGTTATTGAAAATAGCCATGTATGGAGCGGCTTCTTTCATTAATAACGCAAAAATGTTATTTACAAAATGACAGGACTTGTTTGTCGTCAGGGTGGCCTAATCTACAAATATACAAGACATCTGTTGTGCCTAGCGACAGACATAAGTATATTGAACAGCTGCTGCATATATGTAGATTAATTAGGCCGCTCTGAAGAAAAAAGACCACTTTGCAAATATTTCGCATATCTTTTGAGTTATCAATTCATTTCCAATAATTTTGCGTGTTATTTGCAAAATGGTACTTTCTTGCTCAATCCGTTCTACGCCTTCATCAAGTTTGTCACACATACATACTTACATAATGTAATTAATAACTTGTATAATGTTATTAATATTTAATATACGTGCAATATGGGACAATGTATTATGGATATATATCAAATCCAAGGAGAACTCATCTTTTTAGAAGTCATATCGGAGAAGATCTTGGCAAATGTACACATCCATTATAAAAATAGATATTAAATTATGACGTGAGCAATTATTCTAACAAGAGATACATCTTATTTCAATTGTTTAAGCAAATAACACTTGAGAATATCTTGAGGATTATTTTTAGTTACGTAAAATTTGATTAAAACCAACATTTACTTCTAGATTATTCCCCCCTTTTTCTCTCTACTTCTTATTACCGAGGACATACCTTGGCCAAGCTTGCAGTGAACAATACACATTCGTATAATTCACCCATTCTTTGCAAAAACTCGTCCACATAAGGCCTCTTTAAGACGTACACTTGGTGTACTGTTCCGTCAATCTCTACAGGAACAACAAAGTCCGCATTGTTGATCGGCTTGAAAGAACTATGCACCAGAGTCTCGTCCAAGTCGATTACCATGCACTTTTTGTGCATGTCCTGATGCCTGACCGGCGGTAGCAGGAACCTCGGGGATCCGGTACCCGGTGGCGGTGAGCCTCGACCATCTCCCTGTAGAGAACTGGCCTTGGAACTCCTCGAACTGCCACCTCGACCTCTTCCAAGGCAGCAAAGTAGAGAACGCAGGAAGCCGCGATTCCTCTCCCTCGACCTCTTGCCACTAGGTGAACTGTTGCTGGCTGCTTCATTTTCTCCTGGCAATTGAGCTATGATATAAGCAGAAAAATACTTATTACATGTTTCATACATATTAATATCGTATGTCTCTGTGCTCTTCTTTCTCAATAAGTCCATTAAGAAGAAAGAGAGACATTATTCATTGAGACACATTTATTCAGTTAAATTTCTCCAATATGCAGAGAAATAAACTTACATATCAAGAGACTAACATCAAATTTATACTAGATTCACAAACTCAGTTCCCCTAATGTATCTTAAAGTCAAGTCAATAAAACAACGAACCAGAAGAAGCATGATCCTCATCTAAAGATGGGAAATCTTGTCTCTGTATATGAATTAACCTTTTGTAACATAAATTTTTTGCTGTTTCTTTTACAGATTGCCCTTATGAGGTAGCCTATAGAGTGTAAAGGACACGACATAAGAATGGGAAAATAAGAAAATTCGCGCACAGGAGACATAAGAGCAGGAGGACGAAGGGTTAAAAGAGTTGACAATGTAGACGAAGAGCAGAAAGGGATGAGACACACGCAAGAAGTTGTTCGCAGGACAGGGGAAGGGGGAGGGGGGAGCGACAAGAGGTGAAGTTGGGCGAAGAGGTAGGGCGAGGAGAGAAACGCGGGTACCGTAACAGGTGCAGGGAAACGAATCCCGGCAGCATCTGGCGGAGAAGCTTGCAGGCGCAGGGAGGAGGGTGGTACCGGGTTAGTACACGATACGCACCTTTCTCGCTGTTGAACGCGCATATCTCGTCATCCCGCGACACTTGGGTGATGATGGACGATGCGTCCATTTAAACATTAGTCGGTGGTCCCTGCGTGCCTGATCGCGAATTCCGTTAACGCGCGCGCGCGCGCCAGCCGACGGACGGGCAGGCGAGCGGCGGGCGGGCGAACGGACGGGCGGGCGGACGGACGAGCGAGCGAGTGAGTGAGTGAGTGAGTGAATGAGTGAGCGGACGGACAGGCGGACGAGAGCGAACGTACGAACGAGCAAGCGAGTTAGCTAGCAAGCACGCGCGCGAGAACACGGAAAATACGACGGCGATGCGTGCGTGCGTACGCGCGCGCGTGTACGATGAGAGCGAGACGGAGCAACAAATTGGTGCGCACGAGAGAGAGAAAGCGCGCACGGCACACACAGCTAACCTCACTCTCTCGTTCACNACGAGAGAGAGAAAGCGCGCACGGCACACACAGCTAACCTCACTCTCTCGTTCACACAGAACGGCGCGTCCCTACCCCTCCCCCCCCCTCCCGCCTCTACGTTGATCGCCGCGCGAGAAACGGAGACACATAGGCGCAGCAATGATGCGGGAGAACAGGCGCCACTGTAATATACGCGCAAAAGGGCGCGATGGGCACTCGTTCGATCCGTGATTTTCTCAGAGTGATGTTTCGCGTCGACGAGCGATGTCGGAACTGGTCACATCGAACGTCTTCATTCTTCCGAAACGTACACGTGCCCACTGTGTATCCCTCGCGCTCCTTTCCTTTTTCACGCGCCACACCTATCGCTCGTTGCGCAGTTCATTGCTATTCCGACGATGCATCGCTTCTGGACGTTCCTTAAGCCGGCCGACCGCGACGTTACTCGGTGAGATCTCCCGGAGCACGGACACTCGACTTCGAGCGCGAATGAAAGCCTATATTCTTTCGAACGGACCCGACGTATGTAACCGTTCAAACAGCCATGACGCGTAGTACCCGCGATTCATACAGAAAGCGAATTTTCATGTGTATATACACGCTCTCGTTTCGTGCGCACATGATATCTCGCGCGACACGATATCTCAGTAAAATCAACTTTATTGTGTATAACACTGTCACTCCTCTATAGGTTTAACAATGAGAAGCTTTGACATGTCAAATTTCTATCATACAATTTGCATTATGTTATGTGTAGAACACCTAGGAGAGATTCTTAGCGAGAAAATTTGAATTCCATTCCGAGATATCTTGAGATGCAAATTGCACAATAAATACATATGTACCGACATTTTCGTTATGTCTACGAATATAGTATTAAACGACGTGACTTTAATTCAATATTCCTATCTACTTTGCACAATGTGCATTAAAATAACTTTGAATTTTTTATACCGCGCTTTTCTTATTTCTAACGTTAGGAAATCAAATATTTTCTAACTTTTCATCATTGCTATCGTTACAAGAGGAAAATCAAAGATACTTTCCAACAAAATATTCTTTCATAATATAGATATCTTTAAGGAAGAATTCACACCTTGATGAGAAAAGCGGAAAAGCCAATCAGAACGCGCGCTGGTAATCGACAGTTCTGCTTTCGGCAGTTTCGCTTTATCTATTGCTTATTATCCACGAGTTCTGATTGGCTACTGCTTCTCCGTTAAGGTGTGAATTCTCCCTAAGGCTGGTGTAGATGCAATGCTCGTACGACGAGCATTGTCGGGTGTGCTGATTGGATAGAGGGATTTCAAAGGTCCCTAAATTTTTCTCTGGACACACTAGAAATTCTCTATTTGACCGCCAATCGGCACATTCGACAAACTCGTATGCAATATTAGCCTTGTCGCATTTTCGATTCGTTAATTTGAGCAGACTTGGACAACGTTCCACTAATCGCTACAGTATTGCAAACTATAGTGTATGTTACTTGAACTATAGACTACAGTACTACAAAAATTATTGGAATGCTGCCGAAATCGAGTTAGCAAATCGAAAATACCATTAGATATACAACATAGATAACTGTTCAACATTTTCCTAGATATAGTTTGTTTTTCAGCAGCACACACAACTCGACTCAAGTCTAGTTGTATCATCATTTATCACCCTAATTCCATCAAGATTTCTACTATCATGGTTTAAATCTAATCAACAATTAATTGTACCAATTGTATTGAGTTGTATTCAGTTCAGCTAATTGGTCAATGTGATTGGTTAATTCCGCTGAATTAATCGCCGATTAAACCATGATAGTAATAACGGGCATAAATGATATAACTAGATTTGTGTTCTCTCTTACGAGAAAATAGCCATAATTTACATAATTTGTCTTATCCTGAAGAAGTATAATGTATAGTTTTGTTTCATAAGTTTTCGTTACAAGCAGATACTTTGATTGAGTTATATACTTGATTCTGTGTCGTATAAATTTTTGTTACTTATCTCTTGACGAATTTACGTATTGTAAAACAAGATTTAATGACAATAAGTCCCAAGATAAAGTCGGTACATGGTAAACCTGAACCAGCGAGATGAAGATCAACAATATTGTAACAGATAAATAAATTTATTAATTCATGACAACCCGGATGGAAATATTTTATTGAAAATATAATGAAAATCCCCCCTCAATTGATTCCATTTCACTATCATTTCATCAATATTTTAGTCAAAAATTAATCGACATTTTCATAATTTCTCTTAAAGTCACATAGTTTTCAATACATTTTATATTTTACATCTCAACATTTTTTTATTACTTTTCAACAGTACACTTTAACTTTTCTAATATTTCACTGCAGTATTGCATTGCATAAGGAAAATCATAATTTACTTATATATATTAAGTAATACTATGAAATCGATGATGAGTGAAATAAAAGTTATTGAAAGATTACTGAATATGTATAAATGAATCATAATTTTCTTTATGGAATGCATTACTGAGAAATTTTAAGGAAAGTCAAAGTATACTGTTTAAAAGTAATAAAAAAATTTGGAAACATATTGTAAAATTTATTGGATATAATTGTGAAAAAAAATTGGGAAAACTGTATGACTTTTTGAGGAAAAATTACAAAAATGTCGGTTAATTTTTTACTAAAATATTGATGAAGTGACAATGAAATAGGGTCAATTGAGAGAGGTTTTCATTATATTTCGGTAAAATATTTCCATCAGGGGACAAATACTATTTACATTCTAAATATTTGGCTCAGTCACCTTTGCAGCTGTACAGCCTTTAAACATGGTTGGCCGTACCTTCTTTTAGCCTCTTCAAGGAAGGCATTCTCCATTTGTCTCACAATTTCATTAAAAAAGAAATTTGACAAATGAGAATAAATAATGGACTTGAACTCAAAAGACAAGGAAAAGTCGATCACACACGTTTCGGGATTGTTCTTCAGTCCTGACCTAAAGATCCACAATGTGTCCAAGTGATCAAACAATCTGCCGTCTTTACATTCTGCCTTTACTAATCTCGGATACACCATTGTCACTTTGGAAGTGTAACTTTCGTTTATAGGTGGGAATCCTATTACCAAGTTAGCCTTCAGAGAGTCTTTGGTTTTTAATGTAATATCAGATTTCTTGCAGAATGGTAAGAATTCTCTATAATTTTCTACATCGGAAACCACATAAAACATTTTCTTTGCAGAAAACCTGTACATAGCAGAAATTAAATTATAATTTAACGATGTGCTTATTAGTACACATGCCTAATTAATATTTACTTAACAGTTATATGTATTCCATGTTATGAATACAACATTTATAATAACATGTACAAATAAATGATATACTAAAATATGAGAAATGATATAAATTAAAAACTTATTTATCTCTTCTTAAAACAGTCTTTCTTTTTTTATTACCCAACTAATTTGCGGCCTTCATATTCCTTGGTTCTATCACTCGCTTGTGTTTTGTACATTCTTTTCAAGCTCGGCTTAAAAATGTCACATCTCCATGATGATGTTAAGTGTTCCAAAAAAAGCAGATGCCTAAAATTTTGTTACATATATATATCAAATCAGGATGAAGTTTATATATTTCCGATTTAACATTTTTAATCATCGATCTCTAGAAGCAAGTCAATATCTCTCTCACATACATATACATAAACACACGATTTTCTTCTCTCTTTGCCAATTCATTATATGCTTTCTAACCCCTAATCTTAATACATCACGTGTAATTTCACACGACATGAAAGTAAACACAGCATTACCTGCGCATATCGAGGTAACAGTTTGAATATTATTACGATGTTCTACAATTTGCATTTAATTTTGTTATTTATTACTTCAAAATTGCGTAACCTTAAAATATGATTATTACTATCCCATCATTTTACATTCATCTTCAATTCATTGCGTTGAATACGTAATGATATTCGATAAATATAAAGCCATATTTTTTTATAATTCATGTAAGAAACACACAATTCACACACGCGTATACAGACTCGAGGGACATCATGACAAATGGCCTGTTCTTTTTAGCCACACTGCATAAGTGAGAAAGTAAGAAAACATATACTTGTCTCATTTCAACTTATTACACTGGTCCAACAGTGCAGCTAAAAAAAAACAGGCTAAAAGATACATTTGAAATTTTGTACCATAGATATAATTGGTCTGTTCTTTTTATAAATGGTTGCATTAGTTCAAGAAATTTACGCATCATTCAAGAGATATACGCATCGAAGCGTATTAATCCTGGTCTACAATAGGTGCTTTAAGCACTTATTGTGAGACACGGGCTACATCGATTGGTCGGAAAACACCAAATCACGGCTGGCTGTGGTTGGTGGTGGTCAAACGGTCAACGCTGATCGCATGCTTCCCGAACGCAGCCTGGGTCGGCCGGAATCATTGAGAAAGAGAGAAGAACCACCTTGCGCATGATGCGCCTTGAGTGGGATAGAGTTAGGTTATTTTCTCCGAGAGATGAGTATTGTGGAGAAAATGGCAATTTATAGAAAGGAGTAGCACTGTATCGCATTCTGAAAAGGACACATTCGAGGGAGGAGAAGTAAATTTCTGAGGACAAGAGAGAGAGAGAGAGAAAGGAACTGCTGTAGGGGGACGAAATGAACTGAGGAGAACGGAAGAAGGATGGTGGTAATGCGAAAGAAGATATGGCCGCGGACTGCCGGCGATCTGGCGTCGATGGCCTTCGTATTAATCATAGTGCCATTGGTATACTGGTTCGGATTGTGGATAGTGTTATCGGAATTGTACAAGGACAAGGGCTTGCAGTATACACTGCACTTTGTTCTCGGAACTTTCATCATGCTGAATATCGTAGGTAATTTCACGTACACGGTGCTGTGTGACACCAGTACCGTTAGAAACGTGATATCGATAGGCACAGCAAAAACTGAAAACGGATGGTGGCTGTGCACGGTCTGCGAATCTGTGTCGCCACCGCGATCATGGCACTGTCACACCTGCGACACCTGCATCCTCAAGCGCAATCACCATTGCGTATTCGTTGGCTACTGCATAGGTTTCTACAATCACCGTTACTTCGTCATGTTTCTGTGGTATCTGTTCCTTGGCGCGGCGTACGCCTTCTGCTATGGCAGCTTCTTCATCTGGAATAGAGTACCTTTCGAGCTCTCAACAATCATCAGGATGGTTTTCCCTATGATGATCTTCTTCTTCGGTATCGACATGTCCATCGATCAGTTCTATTTGGTACTGTACGTCGTGTCGTTCGTGGGTACTTTATATACGGGTGTGTTGTGCATCTATCATTTTAATTTGATACTCAGGGGTGTTGTAAGTAATGAGAGTAACAAGAGAAACTATACATATGACATGGGTTGGAAGGATAACATTAAAGATGTATTTGGAGAACGGTGGTATCTGACATGGTTTCTTCCTTATATAAAATCACAGCTACCTCATGATGGAACCTCATGGTGTAGCGTGTGTTTAAAAGATGATTAAATTACACTTTAATCACATAATTCTCATGAAGTTATCTCAGCAAAATGTTTCAAAGCATTAATTTGTTCATATCGATACAAATCAGTATTGTTTTCATGACTAAAATTGTCAAGAAATTCATTCAACTTTTGGGAGGGCTATGTTTTTGCAATCAGACAATGTCAATTAAAGCTGTTAAAAATTCCACTGCATTTTAAGGCTTATTATACACACATATACCATATGTATGTATACATGCTAATGTATATTCTCTTTTTGTAGATATTACATATATGATGTAACTATATGATAGGTGATACAGTTGTACATCTGATAAATTATTAAAATCTATCTATTATAATCATGTGATCCTTTAGATTTATGTGTAAAATTCACTTATGAATTAGTATTCCAATTTTTAGATCGATATATGTACAACAAAGAAAATCTTTCAATTTCATCTAAACATTTTAACACGGCTGTGTAAATGTAGAAAATCTTCGACGTTAATTATATCTTACACAATACATCTATTCTCATATCATTTTTAAATATGCGAAATTATATTTAATTGTACATATTATATTTTACGTCGGAAAACTGTACATAAAAAAAACTATAGTCTATAATATGCGTGATACATAGCAAAGAATTTCTCTCAAGAATCTACATACAGAGATTAAATCCAAACTACAGATTAATTCGCAAAAGATTAACTTTCAATCAGATTATAGATATATAGACAATCGTGTTTCTTATGCAACATTTAAATATTTAAGCAGAATTGTACACTGGTTGGATAGACTAGTTTATACAATATTTCGTTCGTCTAATTTATTATACGTCAACAGTTGTCGATGGTTCTTTACCTGAATGTCTACCCCAAACGGCATAAAGTTTTTTAATGTTAAACAAAAATACGTATATAAAACTGATAGAAATATATAAAAGAAGAAGATGGAGATATATATAGATATATAAATATACGATTTGTTTGATATCCTGCATTGATGGAATATTATAATGTTTATACCATTTAGGGTTTATAGTTACACCATTACCATTACGGCTTATAGTTACAGCGACGCTATAAATTTGATAAAAAATTATATGTCGCGGCGTCAGACACACTTATTTTCAGCTAAAGAAGCGCTAGACGCTTACGTGGTATGCTATATATATATATATATATATATATATAATAATCTTCGATCAAAGATATCTTATTTTACGATGATTACAAATGCATAATCTCTAGTAGGTTGAAAAGAATGTTGTGATAAGAGCATTATTCTTTGCAGACAG